TATATATATATATATATATATATATATGGGGAATCTGATAACAGATGATCCCCATCTTCCAGAAAGAACACCACTATTAGTGACTGACATCAAGCAGCTGTTTGAACTCTGCATGGAAACATACCTACAGTTTGACGGGATGACATATCGACAGGTGAAAGGAATTTGAATGGGATCACCAATATCCGGCCTACTAGCTGATGCGGTGGTGAAACAATTCGAAGCCAAGGCATTTGAAGAATACCGCCCTCACCCCTGGGTTCGATATGTGGACGACACCTTTGTGGTGCTACCTGCAGAAAGAATCGAGAAATTCCGTGATATCCTAAACAAGGTTATGCGAGGGATAGCGTTTACCTGCGAGGAGGAAAACGACATGAAGCTCCCTTTCTTGGACGTCCTCGTCATAAGAAAACCAAACGGAAACACAGAAACTACTGCGTACAGAAAACCCACAACGACAGACCAGGTGCTGAACTACGATAGCAATCACCCCACGTGCCACCTTAGGAGCTGTGTACACTTTATTCCGCCGTGGGGACACACATTGTAGCACAGAGGGACTCCGGCGTCCGAACGAATGCATCTGTTCCATCAATTCCACACGAATGGATACCCCAAAAGTTTCGCCCAATCATGCCTTAGGGGAAGAAGAAAACCGAAGGATAAAGAGAAGAAAACGGAACTCTTATTACCATACATACGTGGGGTATCAGAAGCCGTTGATCGCATCCTTCGCCCCCTGGGTGTCACGATTGAACAAAAACCTACAACAACGCTGCGGTCAATCTTGTTCAACGGCAAGGACTATGTAGAACTACACGACCAATCAGTGGTGATATACGCCATTCCGTGCCTAGACTGTGCCCAACGTTACGTGGGAGAGACAGGCAAACAACTGTTCACTCGTCTACAGGAACGCACGCTTGCACTACGACGTGCCGACCCGAAGTCACCCCTCTGGAACTACGGCGCAAAGACAGGTCACAAGGTCAGAATCAACGACGCAAAAGTAGTGGCAAGGCGAAAGAAGAAGGGGAACGTCTGATCCTTGATGCGCTGCTTTCGACCAACTCATTCAATCCTCACGTGGAAATCGGTAAACATTACGAAACGATGAGGAACGTGGGATTGATGGACAAACAGGCGCGACGCAAACCACAGTGCGAGTCACAAGCAGACCCAATTCGTCCACACGTATTGTCGTTTGATAACGAGTCCTGGTCTGGATCGAAACATCACAATAAATACTATCACTCAGTGCTCGCCTTCTCCTTTTCTCTCTCTCTCTCTATATATATTTATATATGTAAGTATATATATATAGTTCCCTGTCCGACCGAGATTTGTTACTGGAGGTGCTGCTTGGGACATAGTAGAGGGAGAGTTGATTGTCGTCGTATTCGAAGTCACCACTTCCGCTTTAATATGCTGATGACCTTAATCGTTTGACTGCTACCGCCTGAATCCATCAGTCCAGTCGACTGGTCGTTGATGGAATGGGTAATACACTTGTATTCCGTCCGCGGTTCACTTCTCCCTTTGCACTCGGTGGATGCTCGCTTGAATCCCTGTATGACGGAAAATTCACCCATCCGGGTGCATAAAGCTAATACTGACTTTGTTTACAGCTTTTTCCTGTTAGATTGTTTTTGCGCTTACATCATTCTAGTTCGCTCCGAATGCCCCCCCGGACTAATTCCTAACATTTGTTTAGACGTTTATTGCTTGTTCAATGAGAATCCATGTATTTCCGAGCTGTTGTCTAACCTTTGTTAGTTCTTATTTCTGTTCTTTCTAGTTCTGGTTAGACCTGGAAAAGCGTATCTCAGAGCAGTGCAAAGGTGAGTAGATATTTTGTTATTCCTTTTTTGCTTTTCACTCAAAATTGTTTGTCTGGGGTGACCATGCGTGACAAAAAATAGTCGTGGGAAAATTTAGGAAGATTAAAAGTTTTAGTCTCGCATGAATTCTGAATCTTGTGATTGTCGAGTTGCCACGCATTTGCCTCATGTTCATATGGTTCAAAGAAATCGAATACAAACGGTCCTCTTGGAAGACTCAAGAAACTGCATTTAAGCAGTATTCTATTCCCACATGGCTTGGAGACAGACGGTTGAAGTTGATTCGGACAATATGGGCGTTTTTTAAAAGACTGCATTCATACTGGTTCGTTTCCAAACCTGAGCAGTGTTCGGAAGTAGGTTTCACTCAGTTAGTGAATTCATCAATCCATCAATTAATCAGTCGGAAAATAAATAAACAGCTTTTTATTTTGAAGTTATGACTTTTTATAAAGAATAGTAACGGGCGCAGCAAAACGCACTGTCCCTGTGTGTATGCATATGCAATATTTAATATCTGCATCTCCATTTGCCTCTGCAGGACCTTCGTATGTCTTTCATTTCCAAGTTAAATATTATTTGTCTCATCCGGATCGAGATATCTATTGCTCCGAAGCACGGCGTCAATATTGCCTACAATTGAGGCAACATTTGTTGACCGGACGGTACGTCCTCCTCCTATCCCCTCTGCTGCTCTTACACACGATATCAGTCTCTCGTTTACTGCTTAACATGCATATGTAATCTGTACACACTTCTTTATCCAGTCGATAGTTCGTTAATGTGAACCAATTTGCTGATTGGCAGAGTTTATTATTCTTTCCGTCAGAACACGAGCTCGCTTTCACCTATTTCCTTGATCTTACACTGACCACTTCGGTGCTATCCTGTGGACCAAATGGCCAGACCGTGTTGTAGCATGCGCGCACGCTGACGGTTCAAAAACAATGGCTTATGAATTAGTGCAAAATGGAATACGAATTTGTCCACCTTAATTTGGTGAATCTTGATCACGTACTGGTTTGCATGAATGTTACTTTCTTTGCTTTTTTTCTGAGGCCATCCCACTTCACGAGTTCCTCTTGTCTCGGACAATCTAGGTAACATGAATCGTTGTTTGGATTACATTGCTAGGATGGATGTGACCACCCCGGTCGGTATATTATCTATTAGCACCTATTTCTGATATCTATATCCATTCGCACAATTCTGTCAATTAGCCGGTTTAGGTATAGGCGATGGGTCGCTCGGCAGCAGGTGCCGAGTTCGATGATCGGACTTCGTGTAAGTGTGTGCATGTATGTGAAAACTTCTGAACTTTGCGAACAACATTGCTTGATTTCAGGTCGATCTTGTTCTCATCATATTGTCACAACTTAGAATATTTTTTCCGGTTTAAAAATTGGTTTCATTTTCGCTGCTCTATGTGTATTTTTGTGTTGCAGCCTAATTTAGTTTGACGTTGTCACATTCTATTGTGTACTGGACGTTAGAGGACATGAACTGGCATAGTGAGTCGAAGGACTTTAATTGGCACATCGCAATAAACCCCAATAGGATTGGCGTAATGTTGACCTCGTTGAGAGCGGCACGGCTCTGCACGAAAATCCGTCTAATAACCTAACATTCATGGTGGCGTATTGCGAGACTACGGAGTATATGCATTAGACTTTTCCCTTTCTATTCATGCGTCTGGGTTTTCGCTAAAATCTATTGTCAAATGTTTCCCACTTTCTCCCATCACTTGTTCTTCACTACACCACTTGACAGAACTCATCAGTGTACTGATTCAACACGTACAAAATGAAGTTTCGGCGAAAGGTTTATGCACTGAATTTTGTTCAGTGATTTCTATCTAAATCGATCACAAGGGTTATTTCTTGGATAACATAATGAACGTCGGTCCTGTTGAGGCTCCTAGACTTACGCTCATTCACACGTTTGCGTGCTTATTCACCTTGAGGGTTTAATCATACCAGCAAGATGAAAAATTCTCGGTTTTACAAATCTGTTTTTGAGAATTCCTGTTTAAAGGATCTTGTATCTGTCTACTGTCTGCTTCCATTGGTCCCAGTTCATTGAATTCGTGCCACGCAGTGGTTTACAAATCTAAAAACTTATTGCCAATTAAGTGTTTCTCAATAAGTCTAGCTGCTGGCCATGAGAACATGGCGTCTGCTTCTTCCTTACATTGTATCACGTTTCCTCAAGTCCCTAATTCCCTACTGCCTTCTTGTTCCTCATCTTCAGACTTCCATGTTCTTTCAATACACACATTCTATTGGGTGCTTACATTTCACAATTCGTCCTGGGCGATGCACATCCTCGACACTCGGGACTGAACGACAGTACCGGTGCTTCGATACGATCCTCTTTCAGTTCCCGTCGTGGTTCACGCGCGCTTTCATTGTCCGAAGGACAGAGTCTTGGTTCGGAACGCGCGTGCAGTTTAGCTGAACCCGAACTGAGTGATGTGGATTGGGACGTGGCGAATGAAAACGCTGACGGCGGTAAATCTGGTGAAATCGCCTGGATCCCACAATTACCATCATCACCGATTGGTGATGACACGGTTCGACTGATTCGATGCAAGTGCGCCACCCTGGCCAATCCGGGCTGGGAGGGTGCGCGACCGTCCATTGATTGTTCACGCAGTGTTCGTTCGGAATCAGCGCACTCTACCTATTTGTCTGTTCTTCCGCATTTGAATAGACTCTCCCGGTCCTCCTCACGCGGGAGACCACGAGTGGGTATTTCAGATGGAGATGATGATGTTGATGCTAATGGCGATGTGAATGGTGCTGGTTTTGATCCGAGTGCAGCTCCGGATAATTGGTTTACTGCTCACCAATTGTCCCCCGTCGATTGGACCGAGTCCCCTGGGGCCAATTGGCCTTACCCCAATCCCACCGGGTACTATTGTCCGGAAATGCTGAAACGCATTGCTCGGTTGCATCGTCGAATTCGGTAAGCGGTAACAGGATTGGTTGTTTGCATGTGTTCGTCCGAGCTGATGTATTTCGATTTGCTGAAAACCAGGGACAGAATAATGATCAATTCAAATGAAATAGGCAAACAAAAGAGGAAAGCGAAATGTCATGTGCATTACTCGACCGAACAGATAGCTGAGGTTTCTGACTAATAGGTATTTACCGATGTTAACCACTTACACTTTTGGCGACATCTTTTACGCAACTATATGGCTATTTATTCAGCGGGAAATTGAAACAGAACAAAGAACTGTCAGGCCTCCTTGTTTATCAGCTGGTTTGTTGTTGTTACATCAAAGACCGCTAACCAGTTCTACTTCTACTTATCAGGTTTGTGGGAGCCGTAGATAACAAAAGGACCCATTAGACCTGTAGCTATCCTTAGTATGACACCGTGTTCTAATTTAAGTGACTACTTCGGCTTCTTTTTTTGGCTCTCTGATTTCTGTGCTATATGTGTTCTACCCGATTCTGCTAGTTTATAAAGTTTCTGTTGGCAGACGCCAAACCGAATTCGCTGTTTGCTTCAAACAACGCAAGTCCGCGATTCACCAGAATAGGTTGCACTCTGTGTCAGTGAGTGTTGCGTTTCATTACTGGATTTTTATTATAATTGGATCTAATAGCTGTTAGTGAGTTATAACGTAGTTTACCCTCAGGTGTTTAAACGGAACTTCACCGTTGTGCTCTTTCAACATTAACAAATATTAGTGCCTTTGGTATCTTTAAGATAGCCTTATGTTGTCCTTTACTTGATCTAGCCAAGGTTTAATACTATCGGTGTTTCCATCTATTTGTTGTCAAAGTAACCTGTTTGTACGACCAAATCATTAATCAGTTTCACTTGTTTGCCGCCGTCCATTAGTTTTCAGAAATGTTTTACTTCTCGTTAACCGTGGTCAATATTTCTGTATTGTAGTCAGCTGTTTTCTGCTCGGTTTCAGGGGAACTCCTCGATCTCGAGCTGAACGTCGATTTCTTCGCGAATCGAAAAAGTTATCCATGTACGGTGTCGAGCTGCATCTTGTGAAGGTATGACATTTGTAGCTCATTAGATTCGCTCCCCACAGTTTTCCCTTGAGTTTAAGTACCAGCATTCTGTTACAATTGGCATTCCCCAGAGAGGGTACAGCTCACGAGGGGAAACGCATGATCACCGGTAGCCTCCTTCTACATACC